TAGTTTGTAACATTACTTATCTCTATATACTCTAGTCTGTAACATTACTTATCCCTATATAATCTAGTTTGTAACATTATTTATCTCTTTATACTCTAGTTTGTAACATTATTTATCTCTATATACTCTAGTTTCTAACATTACTTATCTCTATATACTCTAGTTTGTAACATTACTTATCTCTATATACTCTAGTCTGTAACATTGCTTATCTCTTTATACTCTAGTCTGTAACATTATTTATCTCTATATACTCTAGTTTGTAACATTACTTATTTCTATATACTCTAGTTTGTAACATTAATTATCTCTATATACTCTAGTTTGTAACATTACTTATCTCTATATACTCTAGTTTGTAACATTATTTATCTCTATATACTCTAGTTTCTAACATTATTTATCCCTATATACTCTAGTTTGTAACATTATTTATCTCTATATACTCTAGTTTGTAACATTACTTATCTGAAAGTATTTTTACGCTAATACTTCAAGGTCAGTGAAAGTGTATTGATACTCATCCACACGAGAGATTTCGACAAGTAATTTCTTACAGTATATGTGTACTCTGTGTCACATGTTCGAGTTTTTTTTACATATGGAATACTGTGTACTGTGTGTCTCAGACTGTATCACATTCTCAAGTTATCTCACAGTATGCACTGTGTACTATGTGCCTCACAGACTGTGTCACATTCTCTACAAGATGGCTAATGTGACACGTGTCATTAGCTTCAAAGGGACAGTATTGATCTAAATTTAGAAATGTCAAAATTAACAAACAAGGTTAGCCTTTGCGTTATCAAAATCTGAAAAATACAAAAATGGTTTGAGGCGTCTTGCAAGAGTAGATTTGTTCAATATTTTGATCTAACATTTAATAATGTCATATAAACAGCCACTGAAGTAAAAGTAAAGTTCAGAACTGACTTGTTCTTTAGCCGCGGCATAACGGCTCATAGATAGGCTCTGAGTTTATCAATTACAAACTTTTAGCTCATAGCTCCGTCATCTCTTGACCGATTTGAGATCTAATTACAGTTATGGACTCAGGAAGTCAAACCTTTTCGATTGATGTATTTGACCATGCTCAAGGTCTCATAGATTAATTTACTCTAATACTGTCTAAAATAATTTAAATTTGATGGTAGGCTATTGAGGATTCTTTCTTGTGGTTTTGTTTGTTTGTTTTTTTTTGCTACTCAGATATCACCTTTCTTGCTTGTTGATCATTCTTACTGCGGTCATTGTTATATTGTAGTAAGTTTTTATTTGTTAGATAATCACCTTTCTTGCTTGTTGATCATTCTTACTGCGGTCATTGTTATATTGTAGTAAGTTTTTATTTGTTAGATAATCACCTTTCTTGCTTGTTGATCATTCTTACTGCGGTCATTGTTATATTGTAGTAAGTTTTTATTTGTTAGTTTATCACCTTTCTTGCTTGTTGATCATTATTACTGCGGTCATTATTATATTGTAGTAAGTTTTTATTTGTTAGTTTATCACCTTTCTTGCTTGTTGATCATTATTACTGCGGTCATTATTATATTGTAGTAAGTTTTTATTTGTTAGTTATAAATGTGATGTGTGTGATTAGGAAATTATTTGTTGCCACTTATTTATTACATGTATTCCTACGCGAAATTGGTTTTCCTATAGCGCGTTCTCATTTAGTATGGCGTTTTTCAGAAACGCGTTAACCGCGCTAAACTAGGGGAGGTGGTATTTTAAACATACTCCAAACCACACGCACGTGGTATTTTAACAATTCACGAGTTTAACATATAACTCAACGAAAACTCTAAGCCAGAAGGACCAGTTATGATTTGTTTCTAAAATGAATGTGCGCAAAAACAACCCTGATATGTTTTCTATATTGGCGGGTATTGTTTGTAGTTAAGCACAAAGCTACACAAAGGACTATCTGTGCTCTGCCCACCACGAGTATCGAAACCCGGTTTCTAGCGTTTAACTCCGCAGACATACCGCTGTGCCACTGGGAGGCGTTAAGGAGAACAAGCACTGCATTTTATATTTTGATATCGATGCTTACGCACCACAAAGAAGGAATCTATATATATATATATATATATATACTTTTGCCAACAGAAACAGTTATTAACACAACTGTTTCATTCATTGCAAGTTTGTTGCCAGTCACTAAAGTGTATGTTCTTTTTGTAGAAATTTGTTATAGTTTTCGTTGTTTGTTTTGAGGTCTGTGGTTAGAGGGCAACACCTTTGTACTATCATTATAATATTAAATAAGACACCTTGTGTTGCATTTTGTTCCTGCTGTTACAAGATATTCATCCTAATAGCTTATTTGTCTCAACGTTTTTCGTATTTATAATTCAGTAGGAGAGTCAATCTACCGTTCTGTTCACGTTCCTGACCGACGAGTTCTGACGAGATGTCCTTGTCAATGCAAGATGGAGACTCGAACACCAGGAATAGGGCGCAGTCTTTCTCTGCTGGCAATCCAAAGATGGCCGCCAACCAGAGTCGGTTGAGAATGTCTTCCGGGGAAAACTCAATTACAGAAGTTGATCCCTCCAGAAAGACGCACATTTTTGAGTCATTTCGACCTCGCTCGAAATCCGACAGTAGAAGGTATCGGCCAACTTTAAACTCGACCGTGAGGACCTCTAACGGCAATGGAATAAACTCTCCAAAGTCATCGGTCCACAGTTTGCCTCCTATCTACCGCAGCCCCAACAGTGTCAACCAAGCTGATTCCTTAGATTACAAGCGCCCGAGATCTGGATCTGAGAGCAAATCTGGGCCAGTATCTAAAGTAATGGGATTGATTCGCAATAGATCCAATTCAGTGTCTGCTGACATTGCAGTGAGAGTAAGTAAACAATTATATCCGCCAATGTTACAGCAGCATAACTCAAATTTGTCAAAAATATACAGATTTTGTACTAATGTTATTCTTTAAGCCTAAAAATCACGTTGGTTCTCTTTTAATCTTTGTCACTTGCTACTTTTCTTCAAATATTGTTTATCTAAAGTGTCGTTATAAAGAGTGTTTAATTCTCTGATCCTATCACTTTTTGGTTAAGGCGCTCTTATTTAAGTTTCTATGGTTTTTATTTTTCATCCTGTGATGTAATTATATTTCAATGATAGTAGTGAAAAAGAAACTGGGTCTTTTTTTTTTCGAAAGTTCTTTTAAATAAAATGTTAAAAAGTGCCGGAAATGACGCGTTCTGGGATATAACTGTTACCAGAGTTGAAGAAAATTACAATTTTGTGATATAAAAAGGGTTGGGTTTGTTATATTAAAGTGATTTTGAATATGCAAGTTTGCAAGTTACGTGACAACCACAGCCAATGTAAAGTCGCGGTGGAACGACATGAATCATAACTACATTTGAACATTGTTCGACGTTAAATAAATAGCGTGATGCTACTGAAAATTGATGCTTTTAGGAAGGGTAGGTTACGTTCCTTTCTGACGTCAAATATTCATACACTCTGATCATAAAGATGTTTACATCCCTTGACTTAATGAGATTGGAAAACAAAGGAATATGGATCAGTTTAAGGTACCAGGACCATTAAAAAAGAGACCTGCAACAAGACGTACTCCAGCCATGGCAAGCAAAGTGCGACGTCTTATAACAGATAAAAAACAGTCGAACACAAAGACTAGTAGTAAAAGCCACCCACGAGTCCTAGGCAACAGTGCGCAACATATTCAAGAAGAATCTCCATCTGGAAGAGCGACACACATATACAAAAAGTACTTCCACGACATATAAGTTCCAACGCCACATACCTTAAGCAAATGAAGATGAGAAATGGGTGTTCGTGCTATTCCGTATGCAGACATACCGTTAAAGTCGCTGGACGCAACGGCTGTAGATTTCTGTGTGATTGGACTGTTGAAACGGGTGCTGGGAAACCGTCGTCCTCGCTCAACAAAATAAAGTATGGAAAGCTGCAGGGAACATGACAGCCTTACGATGGAGCATTTCGCGGTGGAACCTATTATCAAGATGCACCGCCGTCAGATACAGCATGACCTTGGTGATATGGACTGTGACGACGTAGTGAGGCTCTAAAATCGTTTTAATATAACTATACGTGTTTACAAGTTAATATATTTGTACTTTCCACTCTCAGACGCTTGTTTTTTTCTCTTAGTAAATTCAGGTAGCACAAGCCTTCCAGAATAAGTGTTTTGTTTACAAAATTTCTGAAATAGAGATATAAGTGGAAAAGCTTTTCTCACGTTTTTCTGTATGAAAATTGAAAATAACTTTAAACGGGCGTATATCGTTTTTTTTTTAACTATAAGAGTATATTTTCTAAGAATATGATGATATTATGTCTTTTTCAATGTAATTTCTTACTTAATTTAATTTTATCTCTCAGAAGTGAGTGTAATATTTTTTTAATTCATTTTTATAACTTTTTGTATAGAGATTTGGAGCGACCTCTGGTGCTCAACTTCCAGGTACGTTAAATTATTGGTTTTTATGACCCATATATTATTTACTACCTAGTTCGATGTCATCAAATGATCAGTCAAAATAAACAATTTAAAAATTTTGAAGTTTAAACTTTAACCCATTACTTTCCGGTTTAGTTACTATTCTTGTTATTCAGATTACTTTCCGGTTTAGTTACTATTGTTGTTATTCACATTACTTTCCGGTGTAGTTACTATTGTTGTTATTCACATTACTTTCCGGTGTAGTTACTATCATTATTTTTTTACCTTCACCTCTTTTTTTTTTACAGTTTTTACTAAAAATAGAGAATTGAATCTTTCTACCTATCCAATTATATCTAGCCAGGGGCGGCGTGTACAATAGGAAAATGTCCCTCACAGAACATTATTCTCACCAACTCATACCAATATCATACAGTATATGTAAAAAGAAGAGACAGAGAGAGCAAAGAAAGATATAAGTGTGTCAGTGTGGGGAGGTTATTTATACAGAGACTGATTCTTCCCAACCAGAGCAACTCCCCCCCCCCCCCACCCACACACACACATGCGCGCGTGGCAGCGTAGCCTACCCAAACAACGAAAAGGTTTGCTCAAGTTAGATTTTTTTTTCTAACTAAACTCCAATACGCCAACTTCTTCTCATCAGTAATTAAATAGAAAAATACCGAAAGATAACAATATTATCGAGGCTACTATTTGGGATGGGGGCTGGAGTATGTGTTTTCTTATAGCAAAGCCACATCTGGCTATCTGCTGTGTCCACCGATGGGAATCGAACCCCTAATTTTAGCATCGTAAATTGACGTAGTTGACTATAAGAACTGGAAGGACAGTAACGTAGTTTACTAATGGGGCAAGATGGAGAATAACGTAGTTGACCTTAGGAATTGAAAGGACAGTAACGTAGTTGACCAATGGGATTAGATGGAGCATAACGTTGTTCACCATAGAAATTGGAAGGACAGTAACGTAGTTGACCAATGGGGCTAGATGGAGCATAACGTAGTTGACCTTAGGAATTGAAAGGACAGTAACATAGTTACCCTTAGGAATTGAAAGGACAGTAACGTAGTTGACCAATGGGATTAGATGGAGCATAACGTAGTTGACTTTAGGAATTGGAAGGACAATAACGTAGTTGACCAATGGGGCTAGATGGAGCATAACGTAGTTGACCTTAGGAATGGGAAGGACAGTAACGTAGTTGACTAATGGGGCTAGATAGAGCATAACGTAGTTGACCTTAGGAATGGGAAGGACAGTAACGTAGTTGACCAATGGGGCTAGATGGAGCATAACGTAGTTCACCATAGAAATTGGAAGGACAGTAACGTAGTTGACCAATGGAGTTGGAAGGAGAATAGTGTAATTGACCACATCAGTCAAGACAATTTGAAAATTATAGTGTTCCTGTCTTTAGATTAAAATGTAATAATAGGTTTTCTGTAGAAATATTTCAGTGCTGCTGCTAACCATAAAAACTCTCCGAATCATCTGTTTCCGGTAGGGTGCTGATCCGGAAAACAATTACCCGTCATCCTCTTTTTCCTGTAACGATTTACCTTCGACTAAATGTAATGAACATTTATCTGTTTTTATTCTTACCATAAACATTTGGCTTCAATTATTTTTCAAATAATTAATGTAATATATTCAAATTTCACATTTAAATCTTAACAAGTATTTCTCGTTCTTATGTCACGTTATTGGTATAGATTTTACATGTATACATTCTTTAATAGGAAAGAGGGTTCGAAGATGTCTAAGTTTGCAGTTACAATAAGCAACCAGGTTTTGCTCACTTTGGGATGGAAGCTGTCAAACGTTGCTATTAAAATTAGCACCTACGTTTTGCTCAATTTAGGATGGGGGATGTCTAACATTCAAGTTAAATTAGCACCCAAGTTTTGCTTATGTTTAAATAAATCTGTTCTAATATTGCAGTCGAAAATTAACTTTCAGGTTTTGCTCACCCTCCCACTGGGTGAGTATTGCAGCTTCCTGGTATGTAATCTTTCATCAACTTGACTAAGTCATTGATAAAAACGTTAACCGAATGAGACTGTTATCTGAGAGACCAGCTTGTTAAGATTTGTGTTCCCCGGTGGGACAATGGTAAGTCTTCGGATTTACAACGCTATAATCAGGGGTTCGATTCCCCTTGGTGGACATGGCAGATAGCCTGATGTGGCTTTGCTATAAGAAAACACGCACATTAAGATTTGTACGACGACACTAGTAGCTAATAATGATATTGAGTTTGTTCGTTCCATACGTACGTGTATATGTAAACATGTGGCTGTTGTGCCAAGCATGTTTGCTCGAAAATATGTATTAGAAATTTTCTAATTAGAATTTTACTTATTGATTGTGACAAAACAAGATAGTGTAAAAGATGCATTTTGGTACGCAATAAGAGACGGATTATTAAGAATTATATTAAGATAACGTCAGTAATATAAATACTTAATATATGACCTGATAAGAATTATATTAAGATAACGTTAGTAATGTCAATACTTAATATATGATCTGATAAGAATTATATTAAGATAACGTTAGTAATGTCAATACTTAATATATGATCTGATAAGAATTATATTAAGATAACGTTAGTAATGTCAATACTTAATATATAATCTGATAAGAATTATATTAAGATAACGTTAGTAATATCAATACTTAATATATGATCTGATAAGAATTATATTAAGATAACGTTAGTAATATCAATACTTAATATATGACCTGATAAGAATTATATTAAGATAACGTTAGTAATATCAATACTTAATATATGATCTGATAAGAATTATATTAAGATAACGTTAGTAATATCAATACTTAATATATGACCTGATAAGAATTATATTAAGATAACGTTAGTAACCAATAGGAATACTTAACTATATTAAAGATAATTAAAAAATAATGTCACAGACCAGTTTTATGGGTTTGCATCATGGCACTACTGTAATGCCAAAAAACGGTTTTACAGGGGTTACAATGATTACTATAACCGTAAAAAAGGACAAAAATAACCAGTGCAATATGACTGGTGTGTCTAAAGGCTTGCTCGCGCAACTTGAAATAAAGTTAAACAGTTTTGTTTTTTTTAAATTTGTGTTTGGCGTTTTTGTTGAATAAACATGATTTCATGAATAAACATGATTTCATGATAAACTTGATTTCATGATAAACATGATTTCATGAATAAACATGATTTCATGATAAACATGGTGCCGTGAATAAACATGATTTCAAACTTTAAGATGCTTAACTGTATAGTTTAAACTAAATTATAATTGTCCGAGAATGCTTGAAAACTGGTAAATTAAGTTTTACTTCTCTGATAATTGTTGTGTTTGAATACATTTTGAAGATGATATTTCGAACTGCTAACGAAAGTTTTTAATTATTAATTTATTAAAGAACTATTGAAAATGTAGCATTTTGAAGCGTCTGTCCAAACTAACACACGCAGATGGTGTTTATTAAATTTCTCTAATATATGCCGAACTTTCGAGAAACTGAATGTTTAGTGCCATTATACTTGTATAAAACAGAGCTTTACAAACTTACCTAAAGCATATAGATTTATCTGTACATCGTATTTCTAGGCCTACCTCCTACTAGACGTCTGTGGGATTTCAAGTCCTAACTCCCACTAGACGTTTATGGAATTTATAGTCCTAGCTCCTACTAGACGTTTGTGGGATTTTATGTAAGGTTTTCTAGTTTACAGAGGAATTAATTTATTGTAAAGCTTTATTGGAACAGTTTTGATAGTGTTAGTACACTATAACAGTTTTCTTGGTAGTTTTATAGGGTATGTGAAAGTCTGTGGTGGCCTAGAGGTCATCATTTTTTTAAATAATTTTAAGTAAGACACGGGATTACCGGAACTGAACAAAATTATAATAAACTTACAGATAACAGTGGCGTTAACGTAAAGTAAATCGTATTAGAAGTAGTTAAGTATGATATTTCTTTTGAGGTAACATTTCCGAATAATGCGAAAGCCAGAAGTTAGAAGATTTGTCTTTAGCGCAGGCGCGTCACACAAAGACGTAAACCTACCAGTTAGCTGTTGTGTTTTTCTTTAAAGGTTTGTTTTTAATTAAGCACAAAGCTACACAATGGGTTACCTGTGCTCTGCCCACAACGGGTATCGAAACCCGGATTCTAGCGTTGTATTTCTTTAAAAGTTTGTTTGTTTCTTTGGAATTAAGCACAAAGCTACACAATGGGCTATCTGTGCTCTGCCCACCACGGGTATCGAAACCCGAATTCTAGCTTTGTAAGTCCGCAGAGATACCGCTGTGCTACTGAGGGGGGGGGGCAAGTTTCTGTAACAGTGAAACTTTAAAATCGTAGAAGTGAAAACTAACTCTCTGAAACTCCTGCCAAGTCTTACAGATCAGTGGGATGGTTTTAGTTTTATGTCGTATTTTCTTCCACGGATCCGTACAAAATATTGATATAGCTCAGTAATTGTTACTGTACTTGAGCTTTATATTTATCCGTTTATCCTTCGCCCAGAATTATTGTTCACATTTTATATCAGTTGTTCACTTCTTTATATCCGTCACATATTTACTTCACTTCTTCTGTGACGGCCAATCCCACTATTCGTTGGTAAAAGAGTAGCCCAAGAGTTGCCGGTGGGTGTGATGACTAACTACCTTCCCTCTAGTCTTACACTGCTAAATTAGGGACGGCTAGTGCAGATAGCCGTCGTATAGCATTGCGCAAAATTCAAAAACAAAAAACATAACTACTAGACTCCATCTTTTCCCTGAAATCATACGAAACGCAAACAAGAAAGAAATATACAAGATCAGTAATAATACACAATCGTGTTCTTTGTCGTCACGCTTTGTTGTTTTTTTAAGTTCCAAACGCACGAAAGTAGTTGTTCTTGGTGAATACATTTTAAACTAGATTTTTCTGTTATCCTTTTAGGAAGGCAGTTCCTGGAACCAGAGAAACGTCGACTGTCTATTGGCCACAGGTCCTTTTTTGATGGACACGACCATCATAGAGCTTTGAATCATCGGAATGACTCCAGAGGGGTACGTAAAAATCGAGACTGTACTGTCTCGGGGGTGGGGTGGGGGTGCATTAGGGGTATATGTGTTATTTTTATATAGAACCAATCACCAGAGGTAATGTTGTGATACCGTTGGCGTAGTAAAAAGGATCAATGAAATATTCGTTATAAATGTAAAATAAAACCTGCATTTTCTATTGGAATCTTCGTGATGTTCCAGTTTGAAAGAGCGTTTAGGGAAGACTGATGAAACTATTGTAGATAGATCTGGTGTGTGTGTTAAAGGACGAAAATATTGTATCTGACAAATGATTATACTCTGAAGTTTTCCCGTGTTCCGTTTTCATTAAAACGCAGTTCATTTGTTATATTCACATCTTGAAGGTTACTTACGTGGCTCGATGTTAAAATTATTATATAAACAGGGTCCATTGGGCTTGTATTACAGAATATTGTGAATGTTATATTAATTTACAATCATTACTTCAACAAACGGGGCAACGTGGACTGGAGGTTGCTGCTTTGGACTCGAAGTCTAAAGACTACATTCGAGGCACGAGAAATGTTATTGTGTCCTAGAGCAAGACACTTTAACCCAGTTTCTTCAGTTTACCCAACTTTGTACTGGGGATAACTTGCGATGGACTGGCGTACCATCCAGGAGGAATGTGTCACCATTATCATCTGCTTGTGTCACAGGAAACTGGAATTTATCATCGGATTCGTGAGCCTTTCCAATGTGCGACAAGGATTAACTTACTTATTAGTTCAACACTAAAAGAAAGGAAATATGCCAACAGACACATCCAAAAAATATATCGGCAAAACCGTTAAATAATAAGAACATCCAAGAAACTGACAAGAAACATGCCAGTAAAGACATTCAAGAAAAACAACATCAAATAAACTGACAAGAAAAGACACGAAAGCAAAAGAACAGCCAATAGTCTACCGATAAACACAACATCAAAACATTTAAGACCAGAACAACCAATAGTCTGACAAGAAGCACAACATCAGAGACTTTGAAGACCAGAACAACCAATAGTCTGACAAGAAACACAACATCAGAGACTTTGAAGACCAGAACAACCAATAGTCTGACAAGAAACACAACATCAGAGACTTTGAAGACCAGAACAACCAATAGTCTGACAAGAAACACAACATCAGAGACTTTGAAGACCAGAACGACCAATAGTCTGACAAGAAACACAACATCAGAGACTTTGAAGACCAGAACAACCAGTAGTCTTCAAAGAATGAGTACATCAAATACATTTCAGAAATTCAACAACCAATAGTCTACAAAGACTTTCAAGAAACACATCATCATCAAAGAATTTGAAGAAACAGAATAAACAATAGCCTACAAAGAAACACAGCATCAAAGACGTTCCAGAAATAGAACAATCAATAGTCTGGCAAGACTTATCAAATCAAAAACGTTCAAGAAACAGAAAATCAAATAGTCTGACAATAAACACAATATCAGAAACATTAAAGAAACATGACAACCAATAATTTGCCGAAAAACACGGCATCAAAAACGTTAAAGACTGATAACATTCGTTATATTGTCTTTCTGGATATCTACGACTTTTAG